AGCCCCGCTGCCCTGGGGAAGCCCCCGCCACCGTGCACGAAGCACCGGCGTGCGGGGGGCCCACACGCCTGTGTCCCCTTCTCCGTTCCTCGCCCCGCTCGCTGGGCTCCGCAGGGCTCTGTGTTTCCCCCACCCCGGGCTGGCCCCCGGGCATGCTTGCCCAGCGCTACAGTCAACCGGGAGAGAAGCAGAGCCTGACAGCAGCAAACGAAGCGGGGTGCGAGGGGGGACTGGTTCCGTGGGCACGCGGTGCTGGAAGAGACCCGCGGGGTCACCGGTGGCTGCCGCGGCTTTGCTCGATCCCCCCTTGCTCCCTCTGGGGGCCCCTGCCAGGGCAGAGGCAGGAGGCTAAGAGGAGAGGAGAGAACCGCTGGCTCCATCCCGGAGCAGGGACCCCAGTCCAAACTGCAAGGAGTGGATCTGCCCAATGCAGTACCCGCTCTCGTTTCAGAGCTGGGGGCGTCAGAGGCTTGTGACAAGAAACACCGATGGTGTTTTCAGGGTAGCCCCCAGCCCCGCCATGCTTGCCCAAGACCCCGTAAAGGCACAGCTCGCTCTTCATGCTGGTAACATACCTGAGCAACCGTCGCTGCCCTCAAAAGCGCTGGAGATGGCGGGAGGGCCCATCCTGTGCTCTAGGAGCATCTCTGCCTGTGGTCGGGCTGTGGGTGGTAGCAGAAAGGCAGGTTGGCGGCACCCAGCTCTCCTACGTCCACCCCCAAGACCACCGGCTCCAGACCAAGGGCCCCGCTCACTGTCCCGGAGCCGTCATCTGCAGGAAAACTCCCTGCCGAGTGACAGGGGTGCTGAGGACGGGTGGAGCGGGCTCCTGCCGGCGCTGGCCCACGCTAATGCGCTGATGGTCTGTAAGTGGCTGCCTATTGATGAGGTGTCCAGTTAAAGAGTTCGTGAGACACTAAATCAGCCCATTGATCTTGCCGAGATCGATGGTGCTACAGACCTGATCACTGCAGCGGGCAATTAACACCCTCTGGAATGAGCCGCCTTCGTGTAACATCAAACGCTCCAGCAGACAAATCCAATGGGCCCATTGACCTGGGCGTGCGATGCCGCCCAGCCTGCACTGTCGAGGAGGGGACGGGGCGGCAGGACCCCCGAGCCAACCTCACCATCCCTCTCCTGCGCGCCGGGACCCCGGATGCCCCTCAGGGAGGACCCGCCGTGAGATGCTCACCTGTGCCGCCACATCTCGTGGCCCACGTCAGTGGCCGCGTGGCCGCTCGGTCCTCGTCCTTCCCTGTGCTAGGAAGCCGTCCCGCACCCAACCTAACCCCCTCAGCCAGCCGAGCGGTCCTTTCCCCCGGAAGAAGAGGCTGCCCATACCGGAGGAAGGATCTGGGTTCTCCCTTTGCCCTCTCGCTGCTTTGGGAAGCGCCGCGTGCAGGGAAAAGTTCCAGGCATCTCTCCGAGAGGAGCCTGGATTTTCCTCTTTAAAAAAAAAATAAAGAAAAATCAATAAATCTGAATCTAATCTCCTAATAAAGGTTTAATGAGGACATAATGTTGATGGAACAGAACATTGTTGCAGCATAATCGCTCCCAGCTGCTGCGCGAGTGTGCAGACAAAGGCCCGGTCCTATGACAATTTCCCCGTTATCATAATAACGCCTTTGTACCAGGCCAAACGCCGGAGAGGGGTTCCATCCCCCCTTCTCCTGCGGATGCTGCAGCCGGCAGGTCACTTGCAGTAGGGCCACCTCTGCTTGCCTGAACCACGAGCAAAGCTCTTCCCCGCTTGCCCAAGGCCTCCCCAGAAGAGCCGTGCTGGGGGGAGCGCTGGGAGGCAGGGACCACGACCAGGACCTCGGGGTGGATGCGCAGCCCCCCAAAACCCACCGGGAAGCCCCAGGGCATGGGAAGACCCCGGCCTCGACGCCAGCGCACGCGGCACCCTGGCCCACATCGTCCAGCCCTGGAAAAAAATAAGCGATGCTTGGCATCCAGCGACTCCAACCGCACCGCAATTAATGTTTAACGGCACCGTGACACCCAGGCGGGTGGCAGGCAGCACCCGTGGGGTGTGGGCAGCACCCATGGGGTGCGGGCAGGGCCGGCCGATGCCGGCAGCACCCGCCTGGCCCCGCCGCAGCCGCCGTACAGTGTGCCGCAGCACAAAAGGAGTGCAGGCGCTGCTGTTAATGTAGTCAGTAAATAAATAAAGGAGGGCTTAAGCTTAGTGTACAGCAATCAGTCGAGAACTACAGGATAATTAACGCAGCGGGGGGCCAGACTACTCTGCAGTCAGGTTTAAATGAACGAGTTCACTTTCATTGAGGCAAACTTGCTCAGCTCCCTGGTGAGCCGTGCAGGCAGGCAGGCAGCGGCGCAGGCCGCAGGCAGCGTGCCGGGGCACAGGGAGGCACGCGTCCTGGGACAAGGGACGCGGGTTTGCTCCCCGTCTGCGGGCACGTCGGCATCCCCGCATCCCGGGGGCACCCCCCACCCATCGGGGTTGGTTTAGGGATGGGACCCCCCGCCGCAGCCCCCAGGGAGCCAAGCAGGCACCCCCGAACTCACCACCACGGGTCCCCCTGCGGCTTGCCCCGAGCCAGGGGGCTGCGTTCTTCCTCCTCCTCCTCCTCCTCCTCCTCCTCCCGGCAGGCACGGGCACAGGAACAGGAGACGGCAGGCCGAGACAACGGAATTAACTTTATTGGTTGTTTTTTTGCTTTCTAACTGCAGATTCAAGGTATACAACTGAACATTGCTATTTTCCTTATGAGACTTATAAATAAAAATACAAAAAATGTTCACTACAAAAAAATCTACCGTTAGTAGGATGTAAAAAATATTCTCTTTGCTATAGAAGGCACGAACTTCACTTAGTGACACATGGAGAGAAAAAAACCTGCAGCAGTATATTCTTCTTTTCTTTTTTTTTGTCTTTTTTTTTTTTCCTCTGTCAGAAACACTGAAGTCTTACAAAGAAATGCATCTGAATCTACACAGGACGAAGGCAGATGCGGAGAGCTGCAACTAGGAGACACCACAACTGGTTTTTTTTTTTTTTTTTTCTTTTTCTTTATTTTTCAGGAAACTTTTAGCTAACGGCATCTGTGGCTAGAGGACAGAGAGGACTCGCAAGCAGAACCGCAAGGGAGCGAACGGTGAGGGGAGAGGGAGAAAGTCGTACAAAAAATAGGAGCCGATAGATACTCTGAGAAAACCAAAGGGGAACTTGGGCACCTTCTGCGCCCGGGCTCAGAGAGGTGCTGAGGTAGACGGAACGAGGACAGCGACGGACCCGAACCACGAGCGGCAACACAGAGCAACGGGACGGGCAGGCGGGCGCTCACGACACCGACGACAAGCCAGGGGAGAGGGAGCCCGGGGCCGCGGGGCCCTGCGGGGCGCTTGGTCCTCACTGCTATGATA